AGAATTAAGGAATGACCACCCAAACAGCAAACTTTTCGTAATTACCTCCAATTAAGAGAATGTTGTCATGGTCTCAGACTTTCTCGGGAGAAAGAAATTGTCCTATTAAGAATCAAAATGTCTCCAGGTTTCGCCTGTGTGATTCGCTTCCCTGAGTGCTACTTCGCACCGTGTGCAGTGTATGCACAAAGGCAGCATCTGCTCTTATCACTAATTAAGCTTATCTATTTGTTATATCATTTGAGATAAGCAACCGTTTGTTGCGGTGAAAGTATAAAATAAAATAACATCCTCCTGAATGCACTGTATCTCACGTGACATATACGCCATGACAGATTCTAGAGATCTTGCTCCTTTACGTCAAAGATTTTGTGACATGACAAGTCTAGAGGACTTTTTCAAGAAGACAGAAGTGGATACTATCCTAGCCTACTAGAAGGGGGTCGGTTTTTATTTAACACTAGCAGTAGAGCCCAGCGTTGCCCGGGGATGTAACAGTAAGAGATAGATCAAGTATCAACCATCATAAAGACTGAAAAATAAAATTGACAAAGGTCAATATAAGGTTGACGGACACGCATGTCTTAATTAGTTTTTCTTGTTTTTTTTTTACGAATTGGTCAAACCCAAACTCAAACAAAAACATTGTTTTCAATCATTATGAGTCTATCGATTGAATAGAATTTTTTTTAAAACAATTGTCTTGTAAATGGAATTTTTAAAGCATTCTGAATTTAAAATAAAGAAAAAAGTGTGCAAGACAATAAGAAACACTACCTGCTAAAAAAAAAAAGTTTTTGTTGAAATTGGTTGAAAAATATAGGAAATCTAATCCCATATATACATGAACACACAGACACAAAAACAACCTGGCTTTTATAAGTATAAATCGATATGAGTTGTCCCCTTTCATTCTCGCGATTAATCGTGTTTTTCAAATTTATTTTGCGCAAAAACAATTGTGTTTTTCAATTTTTGACGCTTTAGAACCACCGCAAGGTAATTTTTAGTCCTGTGAAGTTTTGTTGAAATCGGTTGAAAATGTAGGAAATTCGATCCAATATATAAACGACACAGACACACACACACACACACACACACACACACACACACACACACACACACACACACACAATCTGCGTTTTTTAAAAATAAGAAGATTATACCGCTAAATACCCCCGTTTTAAATACATACCTGGAGAGTGACTGACCTGGTTCGATAGAAAGACTTATTCAAGAAGATAGAAGTAGATACTATCCTCGCCTACTAGAAGGAGATCAGTCATTATTTAAGATTGTACCTCTAAATACCCCCGTTTTAAATACATACCTGGAGAGTGACTGAACCAGCGATAGAAAGAGATTTTTTTTTAATAAGCCACGTATTTAAAGATAAATATTTTGGGCGTTAAATAACAGACAGAGATGAAATAACGTTAAAAGAGAAAACTCAGTCAATCATTTTCCTATTGGTTAATTTCTGGAAGACATCTTTTGCTATTCGTAAGCGTCTAAAGATTTTGATGTTACGTTTTCCATCGTCTGTAACGTCATTTAGATAATGACGGTACAGACGATGGAAAACGTAACATCAAATTGTTTCCTATAATTATTCTTCTGTGGACGTTGTCCATTTAGAACGTTGGGGGTGAATAGCTCTCCATCACTTTATGTCCTTGTAGCTCTTAATACCATTAGTCTATTCAATATCACCTCAACCATTCCGCAATCCGTTGACATAAGGTCATCAGATTTGAGCCTTACTGCTTCACTTTATTCCTTTTGGTTTTTCATGTGTATTGTTAGTGTTAATTTTTCCAAGCCATCCGTCCTCATTATATGTCCAAGATATTTCAGGTGTCTCTTTCTGCTTCTGAGAATTTATTTTATTTCCATTTTCCTCATGCAATTCGTTCAATTTATTCTCAGCATCCTCCTGTAGAGCCATATGTATCTCGCCTTAAGTCTTCTCTTCATCTGTGTGGAAATTGTCGAGCATTCAATGCCTTAGAGGAAGATCGATATTCCGTTTAGCAGTATTTCTAAAGAAATTGTCTTTTTTTTTCATATCAATTTTCTTGGCTTTTGGAACTCTTCGATTGCAATTCCAGTGTACCTTTTGGATTTCGCTATCACGTTTCGTTTTCTTTTCAAACACTTCCCTGATATTTCATCTTCTGTATTTCTTTGATTTTGGAATCTCATCTTCCTTACTTCGCATCTTTTTATTTTTTTGCTGACAATTCTATATTCTGTCTTGCTAGTTGATGGCCAGCTTTTACTAACATGTTAGATGTTAGGATGTCATGTAGTTGTCCTCGTGTGTCTGCCAGCAACACAGTGTGAGCTGTGTGGTTTTGATGTTTAGGACTCCCACCTCTGATAATAAATCCGGTTAGGGTTTTCAGCAGCCGCCGTGGCCAAGCACCGTTGTATGTTGTTTTATGAAGAGAATGGAAACGTAATTTAAAGTTGAGAAAATATGAAATTATTCGGAGGCTGAATGTCAGAATGGGCAAAATATAATTTAAACTTTCTGTGTAAAAGTGACCCAAAAGAGAACGTTATAGATTTTAATAGACTGATATATATATATATATATATATATATATATATATATATATATATATAGGTAACTACACTCGTTTCGAAAAAAACCTTCGGTTTCTTGATTTGTTAATGGTCAAATCAATCTCGAAGAAAAAAGGCTTTAAAAAAAAAAAAGAAAGAGCTATGAACATGAACGTCTGTCGAAAATAATCGTACACCATACAGGTCCGAAACCCAAAGAAAAATACGAGTAATCAACTAACTTAAAAGTTCTCAATACAAAAGTAGAGCAGACCTAGTCAAACCTAGGGAGCCAGACAAACCTACCAAGGTTTCACCAAAGCGGATCGTTGGTAGGTTTGACTATATATATATATATTTTATTAAAGACATTTTTATGTTTAACGTTCTTTTGTATAGATGCTCTGTTGATAGTAAACAGTATTAAATAACATTTACCGGCCTGAATGTCCGCGAAATTTTCATAGAAAATATTCGTCCTTTGACAGGATTCGAACCTGCATCCTATATGGAACCGTCATTTACGCTGACGTGCCTTACCGACCAGCCACAAAGGAGCGTTCGGTAGGCAAGGTCGAATTTACTGCTTATAAACTTCAATCTTCCATGAATCTCGTACATTCATAACTGCTCTGGCGTATCAAATGTAAACAAATGACGTCATATATTAAGAAATGGACAAAGTCCGACAATTTATTTTATTAAAGACATTTTTATGTTTAACGTTCTTTTTTATAGATACAAGTATTTAAGTAAATGCTCTGTTTATAATAAAGGACGAACATTTGAAATGGCCGCCCAGTGCTTTTCTACATGTGTGTGTATGTGTGAGTGTGTATGTGTGTGTAGTCTGAACGTATTATGCAAATAAAGTAAAACTCAAAGACTCAAAATGATCTGAACCAATATTTCTCAATTTTAAACTCGTCCACTTCCACCCTTAGTACAATATTAAAATAAATAAATTTTCCGATATTTTATTGGTTAGTTTTTGAGGTATTTGGAATTTACGAAAATGGACCGACTGAAGTTAGTATGCAGATTAAACTAATATTAGCGAAAGACATCTGATATCTAATAAAAAATGTTTTTTTCGTTTTTTTCATAAAATATATTGAAAATGGTTAAAGGTAAGGAACTAACAACTGCTGAAAACAGAAGAAAAAAAAAACAATATAATTGAGTGTGTGAATGTCAAAATTTCAGATATCAAAAGAGCTTTGCAGAAATCATCGAACGATAAAGAAAGCTTTTGAAAATATAAATATTTTGAGAAATCAAAGCAACTGAAAAGTCTTTAAGAACACTGCTTCCTCGAGAGAAACATGAAGAAAAGCGAGTTATAGAGGGACAACCACTTTTGATCAGCGCTCAGATGTTGGAAAACGTTGATAGAGAGCGTCAAGAAGGGCAAAAGCTACAGTATAAATTTGTGAATTGGAATCTATATAAAAATAAATCTACTATGCAACCTCGTCTCAGTAAAGCAAATATTTTAAAGCGTCACATTTGGGCTAGGAAATACATAAAAATTACATTTTTTAAAGTAATTTTCATTGACGAATTTCGAGAGACATTTCATGAATTTGATGGATGAACCGAAAAATAGATCCACAATGTGCCTGCGGCGAAAAGAAAACAACAAGAAAGTTAGTGTTATGATATGGGCTGAAATTGTCGGACAAATCAATATTGGATCATTGAAAGTCCATGAAGAAGTTAAATTGAACAGTGCTAACTACTGCGATATTAATAAGATTTTTGTTGCATGGTAAAAGTTCCAGTCACGCAGTTTCAAAGGGAAGTGTGTATTTATGCACCACAATGCTCCTGTCCGTGTATCTACGCTTAATCTTGAATTATTGAGGCATAAAATATTTACAGGAGTAATGGAATTCCTACCATCAGCTCCTGATCTCAATCCGATCGAAAATCTATGGCGTTTTAACAAGATCATATTATCTGAAAGTGGCATACAATACAACAACAAACAGACCTATGGGAAGCAATTATAACAACCACTTCGGATATTGAACTTGCTGAAGTAAAAAACATAACAAAATTAATGGATAATAGATTACTGGCTTTTATTAAGAAGAAGGGGCACTATATTAAAATGTAAAGGATTCAAACACTTATATATGTTTGTTATTAGTTGTTATAAGTGTTGATCAATTTTTGATGATTTTATTATATTTTTCTTGAAAAAAAAATGTCATTATTTGGTTTTACCTAATAACTTCAGACGGCAATTTTTTTTAGAATGCATCAAATAACATTAATACCTTCATTAAAAAATATTGATACTAGCTAAAATTTTAACTCAAGCTTTCTTTTGACATCTAAATTGGTTATTTAAAATTTGATGATTTTTTTCAAACCACATTCGAATTATTGAAGTTTGTATGAATTGGTTAATAACTTCAGACAGGTTGCAGATAGATAGATAGATAGATAGATAGATAGATAGATAGATAGATAGATAAAAATACGTAGATAGAAACATAATAGATAGATAGATAGATAGATAGATAGATAGATAGATAGATAGATAGATAGAAAAAACTTTATATAGACAGAAATAAACTTAGATAGATAGATAGATAGAAAGAAACAAACTTTATATAGACAGAAAGAAACTTAGATAGATAGATAGATAGAAACAAACTAACTTTATATAGACAGAAAGAAGATAGATAGATAAACAGACAGAAAGAAAAGAAATGTAGATAGAAACAAACATAGATAGATAGATAGATAGATAGATAGATAGATAGAAACAAACTTTATATAGACAGAAAGAAACTTAGATAGATAGATAGATAGAAACAAACTAACTTTATATAGACAGAAAGAAGATAGATAGATAAACAGACAGACAGAAAAGAAACGTAAATAGAAACAAACATAGATAGATAGATAGATAGATAGAAACAAACTAACTTTATATAGACAGAAAGAAACTTAGATAGATAGATAGATAAACAGACAGAAAAGAAACGTAGATAGAAACAAACATAGATAGATAGATAGATAGATAGATAGATAGATAGATAGATAGAAAGAAAGAGTCAAACTTTATATAGACAGAAAGAAACTTAGATAGATAGATGGATAAACAGACAGACAGAAAAGAAACGTAAATAGAAACAAACATAGATAGATAGATAGATAGATAGATAGATAGATAGATAGAAACAAACAAACTTTATATAGACAGAAAGAAACTTAGATAGATAGATAGATAGATAGATAGATAGATAGATAGATAGATAGATAGATAGATAGATAGATAGATAAACAGACAGACAGAAAAGAAACGTAGATAGAAACAAACTTAGATAGATAGAAACGAACTTATACTGACAGAAACAAACTTAGATAGATAGATAGATAGAAACAAAGAGACATAGATATTTAGATAGATAGAAACAAATTGAGAAAGACAGAAACAAGGAAAGGTAATACAGTGAATTCAATAGAAAGAACAATGAGTAAGGAATATTTTAAAGAGGCGTACGCATCGAATTTATTGGATAAAAAATGCGGCGAATCTTTTAAATCAATACTTAATATCCGGTCCATGTAAAGAAAGTAGGTGACGTCACTTGTAACTCCTTGCGCAGAAACGCCATTAATGAACACACTTTTTAGAAAGCGTTCGAAATCGACACGGCTCCAGCACGTTCCTTCAGCGATGCTGGGCGATAATCATGCATGATTCAGTAAAGTTCTTCCGCCCATGAAGAGAAGCCACTTGCCTCCAGAGAGTTTACCAACAGCTCGCAGCTGCAATTTCCCAACTAGTAGCTGTTGGCTAAATCAAATAGACTTCTTTCTATGTGATTCGTATTCACTGCTAACCTTGTCCAAAACATAGCAAAATACAAATAAAATTAACTCAATACAAAAACATAATAATAAAACGCCAATAGCTGGGTTCGATAAGGCTACTTATTGTGATACATTAAGTTTTTTAATGACGAAGCAAAGATTAAACTTGGTATCAATGCTTCAGAACGGTTCCGTTAAGTGTGCCATGGCTAACTGCGCAGTATTTTTCAATATCATCGACATCATTAATATCATCACTCTCAATCACATCAGTTGAAAAGCTGACTTTTTCATCCACATATCTGCGTCATTGTGAATGATAATATAATCCACTCTGATCCATTTTTCTTTCTCACTGCCTCTTCTTCATTTGCTTAGTGGTGATCCCTTGGAGGACGGTAGTGGAATGCCTGTTCAATTTCATGATGCTACAACGCCATCTTAAATATTTCTTCTTGACTGTGCTTACTAGGTATACAAATGTGCCTGATTCTTGTTTGCCTGTTTCTAGAACTACGACATTTGTGATTCGGTTCACGTAGATGCCTAGGATTATTCTGTAGTCTCACGTTTATAATATCTTGATTCTTCGCTGTAATTCTTCTCTCAGTCTCCGAATTTCTTAGGCGTCCAGCAAGATTGAGAAAACAGACTGATGTATTTTACTTTCTCTTTACGTGCCCTATTAGCTCTTCCTATAAGGCGCAACCTTTTGATATGCAAAAAAAAAAAAATGCTCGGAGACTAATACAGCCGTATTACGGATGGGTGACGTCCTATTGCTATCACTGAGCCTGATTCCGCCGAGCAGAAAAATTGTTGATACTAATAAAATAAATGAGTGTCCCGTTGCGCCATCTATCGTCAAATCACAAAGGACAATGCTTCAAAAGATACCATGTGTATACTGATCTGTTAAGTCATTCCCAGGTATATCCATGAAAATGGAATGCCAGTTTTCTGTGTAATAAAATATGTAGGTTGAAATTTGGCATTTTCTTTAAAAATGGCTGGCCGGATGGGGGCAGCACTGGACAAATGTTTAGCAGTGAAAGTGTTAATAAAATATCTATGTTAATCTATAATGTTTGATGAAATACCAGATTCTGTTAGAATCCATTCAGTTCTTTTCTCTGTTTCGTATTGTATACTAATTTATTTTTACATTATAGGCACATTAATATTTATGTAGAAATTCGTCAATCAATGTGCATAATAATGATTTACCTGACACAGCAAAGGTATTTCATAGAGATCAGCATGCTTATGAAAGGAAGAGTAATGGATAAGGGCTCGGATTGGGGATTTCCCAATAGGATCCATTACATTAACATACGTGCTAATACTTTGGGAAACGTATTAATCCTCTTCTTTCCCCCCCTCCAGGTATGGGTAAATAGCAGGACAAACTGGGTTCTATAGCCTTGGGTCTGGAAGAAGGAAACTCTGCATTCAAACCGCCCTGGGGAGGGTTGTCAACGAACGCTATATAATGGGGCTCACTTCTCGTTGGTTAACCGAATTAGGGGCCCCTTCTCTTCTTCTTTCTCCTCCTTCACTCCACTATGATGACATTCGCTAAATTAGATTCAGTAGATATTTTCGGATCTGTAAACTGAAAAAAAATATAGTTATTCTTCTAAACATAAACGTAATCTAATATCTTTAGTAGGTGATCAGGTCACTATTTAACACCACGTGTAATTAAAAGTTTCCTTAACGACTGATGTTATACACACAATACTTATTTTATGTTGTCATTTAAAATATAGATATTGACAGGGAGGGTATATTAATTCTTGTAGCATACCTACTGACGATAATGGGTATGTCCCCATTCACATAAATACAGTAGTAAATACTGTATGTTGTTCAGCAGTTGGAGATTCGTCTCCAGCAGTGAGGATCCCCAGACGAGGCTATATCGAAGGGCAGAGTCTCGTCTCGGGAAACAGTTACTCAACACCGTTCTATCCGGGGTCTACGGGAAAATTTTGACAGATCTTATTGGCACGGATATTCCACATAAATTCGGCCTTGTGCCACATCTGAGAGTGTGTGGCGGCTGGTAGATATCCTGAAGTCGGAGATTTGTCTCCAGCTGTGCTTGCTAGTCAAAATCTCTGCCTCCGGGCAGAGAGGATCCCCAGACGAGGTTATGTCGAAGGTTAAGGTATCGTCTTAGACGGGGTCTGCGGAGAATATTTGACCGATCCTACGGGCTCGGATATCCCACATTAAATTCGGCCTTGTGCTACATCCTAATGCGTGGGGCGGTTGGTAGATATCCTGAAGTCTGACATTAGTCTCCTGACAGAGGGGATCACCCAGACGAGGCTAGGTCGTAGGCAGCGTATCGTCTCGGGAAACAGCTAGCCGACAGCGTTCTATAGGCGGTCAACGTGGAATTTTTGCCCGAGCCTACGGGTTCGAATACCCCACATTAAATTCGGCCTTGTGCTACATCTGACCGCGTGGGGCGGCTGGTAGATAATCCTGCAGCTGGAGATTCATTGTGGAATTCACTTGACTCACTTCTAGCAGCTCACTACTACTTCTACGCGCTGCTGGCGAATCTTATATTTATTGTTGTCATCCTAAGTATTATCGTTCATTACCAAACATTGATGTGATTATTCTATTCAGTAATCTTCGCTAGGTTACAACATTAATAAACACTGTTTCGTCAATGTCAGTTTCTGGCATCAATTCAGTCTTCAGACCAATAACTTATTTTAAATAAAAACCTGATTTCACGACTCACTGTAATCTTAAGACACGCCAGTAACTTACTAAATAGTTCTCATAAAATCAGATAACTTCAGTTTCACTTGATCGAAAGATTATATAACTTCATGAAACCAAGAACAAAAAACTATTGATATGATTGTTCACTGTCTCTATCAATAAATGTTCTATGCTGGCAGTAAACCGTCTGCATCTGAATATTAAATGAATTCTGTAAATATACAAAAAATAGAAAGGGATGTAAGCGTCATATTCCTAAACATATACAGTGAAGCGATTCTGAGATAATTAGAAGTTCTACCAAGATTCATTATTGGTGGAAACAATCTTATGATAAGATATGCAGATGACAGGGTGTTGATAGCAGACGCAAAAAGGAAACGACAGGAACTCTTGCAGAAGGTAGTGAAGGAAAGCGAGAAGAAAGGAATAAAATAACAATTGCAAGAAGACCCAATCTATTGTTCTCAGCAGGAGGAAAACCCAAACATGCAAAATTCGAAATTGTCAATATCAAAATCAGAAAGTAGAAACGATTTAGATATCTGGCATTTAACAGAGAACTGAAATAAGAAGATGCGTTTAGATAGCGAAAGATGTCTTCCAAAAGCAAAGTAGTGAAAAAACAAAAAATAATCGTTAGAAACAATGAAAACAGCGTAATACTGGTTCTGTGTATGGCAATGAATGCTGGATATTCTACTCACAGATACAGAACAAACTTGAAGTACCATAAACTTTGTTCTACAGAGGGATTCTGAGAATAACATTAGAGAAAATAGAAACAAAAAGGATACATATTTAATATCAGAAAGAGACAGTTGAAATTATTAGGGCGCATAATGAGGAAAGGGGGATTGGAAATTTAGAGACACGCAGGACAGATAGACAGCAAGAGGGACATAAGAAAACAATGCATAACCTACCTACCGAACTTGAGTGAACAACTAAATTCCACAATATGATTTCGGAAGGATAATAAAAACAAAATTTAATAAGGGTCATATGGGAGAGGAAATTGTGGTGAGACATGATCACCAACATTCTGAAGGGACACAGCACAAGAAGAAGAAGAATGAGGAGGAGGTGGAGGAGGAGGAGGAGGAGGAGGATAAGAATAAGAAGAAGAAGAAAGAGGTGGTGGATGACGAGAAGAAGAAGAAGAAGAAGAAGAAAAAGAAGAAGAAGAAGAAGAAGAAGAAGAAGAAGAAGGATGAGGAGGGGGGACGACAACGACGAAGCGGAAGACAACAAGAAGGAAAAAAGATGAGGAAGAAGAGAAGAAGAAGATGAAGAAGAAGAAGAAGGAGGAGGAGGAGAATATAAAATAAAATGGCGACAATTTACCCATCGCAGCCTCTGTTTAGATTTCGGCATTAAATAATTTGATATTGATATGCCGCTAAATAAAAAAAAACAACCAACCAACTACAAACCATTCTTTGCATGCTTATTCATTTTAGATGTAATCTTTGGAAAGTTCTCAATTGCTGCCTGATTTCACTGAGCAACTTTCAACATATAAGAAAAGCAAGGTTTCTGAAAATTCGAATTCATTGACTCTTCAGCAAATCCGACGTAAACTGAAAAATTGAAAACTATCAAAATCCAACAGTTTTTTGCCGCACCCAATACTGAGTCTAAAGAGTCAAACAGGAAAAAGATATTTTAAAAATGTGTGAACAATATAAAAATTTCTAGAGTAAACATTTTTTTAGAAAGAGTTTTATTCTTTAAATTTAGTCAGAAGAATTTTAAGACGAAAACCACTCTCGCAAACACTCATTACATACGCACTCACACACGCTGATGCATATATATATATATATATATATATATATATATATATATATATATATATATATATATATATATATATATATATATGTATATATATATAATAACTTATTTTTTTAAGTTGATATGTAATAAAAATCTGTCGGATTTATATAAAAAACAAAACAATTCCCATTCTTTACAATTATATATTTTGCAGAGAAACCCTCTATGTTTCATCAGTTCGAATGGGATATCAGCTGGGCCCGGATATTTTCTTGATTTCATTTGCATCGTAGTTCTTAAAAAGGACAATGATTTATCTCGTATCATATCTCGTATCAAAGAATTCAATTTCTTCTTTGCTGATCGCTTCATTTAGGAAGGTGACTAACTCGACCAATTCTTGCATGGAAGAACCGATGCCATTGGTGGCATGGTAATGTTGGTGGAAGGTCGGATCGATTTATATATATATATATATATATATATATATATATATATATATATATATATATATATGAAATGTGTGTGTGTGTGTATAAGTGTGACAGAAATACCACGCACATTTACCTCCTACACAATAGTAACTCATTCGTGTCAATGGTGTATTTATCTAGCTAATGTCTGAGGTATTTCTGGTAGGTATATTTGGGATGTATTTCTGCCGTACCATATATATATATATATATATATATATATATATATATATATATATATATATATATATATATATATATATATATATATATATATATATATATGTGTGTGTGTGTGTGTGTGTGTGTGTAGGTGTAACAGTAATAACTGTGTAACATTCAAATCGTGTAACTGCAAAACTGTTCAATACTTAGATTAAGGTCTTGAACCGTTGTATCTTAGAAATGATTAATGATATCTTACTGGATTTTTTTGAGGTTTATATAACCCTACTGGACTCTACTTTGAACAATAAGAATATATTTAACTCTAAGTTGAAATGATGATCCTTCTTGCTGTTGTGACTTCCTGATCCAGTTTTCCTCTCTACTGTTCCCTTTGTTTTAAACTTATTCACCGTTTTCTTGATGGCTCTTAAATAGTCTTTGTAGATGGAAAACATAATATGAATGTTTGTACCACTACTGAACGACTAAATTATCCTTTTCCTCTCACCATTGCTCATTTGGGGAGTACTCTTTGGGTTGACACAAAATTATTTTAACCTGTTCCTTTTCTAGCTTGAAAACTCAAAGTTTTTTTTTCTTTGATTCTTACGAAAAATGGTGTCAAGTTGGCTAAACGTCTTTTCTGAAAGCCTGGGAAAAGAAACTCAGTTTAGTGTTTATTTACATAAACACACACACACACACACACACACACATATATATATATATATATATATATATATATATATATATATATATATATACTCGACTCTCCCATCGAATTCGACGTATGAGGGTCAAGCAAATCAGTTCATAGGAAACAGACAGCTAAACAACAACACATGAGATATGATTATAGTGGTGAAGGATTTGTGCAGGACATTCCACACTTTTTGAAGGGCCGAATACAGAGACCTGGTGCACTACGTGCCACAAGGTCACCAAATGACCCTCATTCAGAGTTGTCCTTCTCCCAGACCACTTTCCATCCAAGGCTATAGAACCCAGTCTGTCCTGCTCTTTACCCATAGCTGGAAGGAGAAGAGGACTCGAGCCTTTTTTTCCAAGGAATTCGAACTCGGCGCTCCGATTCCTCAATCCAAGCCGCTATCCATTACTCCAATGTGCCGCATATCTATCTATCTATCTATCTATCTATCTATCTATCTATCTATCTATCTATCTCTGTATGTATGTATGTATGTATGTGTGTGTGTTTACTCAGATATGAACTTAGGTTTAACGAATAACTTTAAAAAGGAATGATTTCCTCAAGAATACTATATGTCTATATTTGCATAACATGCACAAACGGTCCAGGTCAAGACTGAAAACAACCAAATTTCTGGAAGATCTCCAACCAAATTCTATATAGAGGTAAATCGTCCGTACCCACTATTATAAATGGCCCCGATGTCATGGCACTATCGTCAGATAAAACAAGTTCCTCGCCTCGATCTTTGCTTCTAACTCAACGCTAGATGCCAAACAATGTCCTGCTGAACTTCTTCAGTCTCACTAAGTACAATCTCAGTAGTAAATTTTTACAGCCAGAGTATTCTCAATAGTCTGGATCCTAAGAGAACCACTGGCTAAGAAAAAAATCAGCTCTGACACCCTTTCTCCGTCTAAAGCTATCTGTCTCATGAGTGTCATTAGCAAGATTTTGTGGCTATAATCATAAAGAATGTTGTTCATCTCCTAAATAAGACCAACCTCTTAACGACAAGCAGTAGGAGTTCCGATCGAGGTGCTTCACCACTGATGCCCTGTTATTATTCACAGAATCAATGAGGCACTCTCAAAAACTCCGAAAATACCTCGACTAAAGATCTCCCCAGATATTTCAAAGGGATTTGACAAGGTGCGGCATAGATGACATATTCTCTGTTTACTTTACATAAATGAACTAAGAGTATACACCGGTCATTTGTCAATATCTATGCTAATGATACAAAGTTATATGGCTGCAACTCTAAAACAATAAACAAACGGTGAGTGGTAGCTGATTTCTTCTCTGACCGAGTTCTACAATCTCATTGGGGGTGTGGAATAGCTGGTTACATTTAATGCCTCGAAGACCATACTAGTTACGTTTCATCTACGCTGATCGGAGCCGAAATCATCACCAATAACGATAAACGGATGTTCCCTCAGGGCGTCTCTGTGCCTTGAGGGCCTATTGGAATTTCCTCCAACCAGGTCCCAAGTGGAACTCGTATATACGATCTATCACTAAAGATACTGAAAGAATGTCTGTAACGCTCCAGTAAGTATCCGAAAACTCTTGCTATACTCTACCTTTACAAGAGCCAGATGAGGCCAGAAATGGAGAACTGTTGTCATATATAGGCAAAAAGCTCTTCATTTTTAAAGTCTCGAAATGGTTCAAAAGCATCTTCTCGTCTTCGTGGGTGACAAATAATTTTCCATCTTGTAACCCCATGTAAGCCCCACTTTGCTTTATCGTTTTTGTATTTCATGGAAAGTACTCAGACGAAATACATTTCTTAGATCCACAAGTTCTAAGCTTCACGGCTAAAACCCGCCATGCCCCGCACATTGTAGCAAAAGATCTTATTCCCTTCGCATTCATTGGAGAAATATAAGTTTCACTCGAGCAGCTTCTTCCCACAAACCACTGCTTTGTGGAACCGACACGCAAGAGGATGTTCCCTCGGTCACTACAATCATAACCTGATCAAGTCTAGGGTTAACCGTTATCTTACCCACATATACACGTAAACCGTTTCTTACTCTCCCAGGCCTGGTATATTATTGTAAGCAATCTTTTGTACAACTATCGGTATATAGATTACATATGCATGTATATACTTGAAATCACCCCACCAGTAGCGAGTCACTTTCCATATTTTCCTGTTATAAGCTGTGACCTTAGCTTGCAAACTTCCATGTTTTATATTGTAAACAATTTTATTTTTCATAACATTCTTTTTAATAAGGCATAACTATGAACGAATAGAAGGGAATGAGAAAATCATTTGCCGTAGAAATTAAGAAGGCAATCATTTTTAAAACATATCAGTAAAACTCGTGTTAACATACTTAGTAATGGAGAGTACGGAATGGTGGAATCCATAATCTGGAGCATACAAATAAAGCAAAGGTCGATTAAAAAGTCTTCCAGGCTATGGGAATAAACAGACGTAGTAAATCACATGGCAATATTATTGGCGAAAAAAGGAATCATTACCTTTGGTGAGAAATTCCCGGGGAAAGTAGGTGTGAATTGATAAATTTATGCAAAAGCTGAACACATATTTTATAACTTTATAGGGAATGCTCCCAGTGGAAATGATACTACATTACCGCATTTTCTTATTTCAATGTATTTCTGTATTTATTTGTTTTCTATTCTTGCACATTTTTCTGTTTGTTGTCAAAGTTCATATATATTTTTGCTTATATGTAGATCAAGTAAGTGGTTTAAAATGGATCATCCTCCTTTACATCATTTACATTTATTCATATAACGAACAATTTGATTAACGAACCTGTCTCCTGAAGGTATTATGTCCCTTCATAGAAACGGTACTGAAAAGAGAAATATGATTCTGAGCCATAAAGTGTGTCATCTGGCACCAACTTTTGAACACTTACCTCTCACCTATATTGCATAATGTTCGATTTATCCGACAAATAATCATGTACATTCACAGATTATTTGCTACGTGCCGTGTCCCTTCAGGACGTTGGCGACTATGGCTCTCCACAATTTCCTGTATTTTGTAGCTCTTAAATATATTTGTCTTTTCTTATATCACTTAAATCCTGCTTTGCCATCTATTTACTCAAGCTCGCTAGGAATGTTATGCGTTATTTTCCTCTAAGCATCTTACCTTCAATCTGTCCTGTGAGTGTCAAATTTTCCAAGTCCCCTTTCCAGTTTTTCGATTGCTACCGGTAGAGCAAGATCTTTATTCGAATTTCTCGAATGCACAGGACGATAAGCGTATTAAATTTTGGTTAAAGCAAAAACAAAAAAAAAAAAAACGATGCGTCTATTTCAAATGCGAGTAACTACTATAATAAACTCTGAAGTAACAAAAAATTTAAAATCGAAAATTAATTTTTGTTTATAAATATATAAAAAAAGACAGACATGTGCCTGTTGCTACATATATATATATATATATATATATATATATATATATATATATATATATATATATATATATATTAGATATTAATCTTCGGTTAGGTCTGTGTACTAGGTAGGAAAGTCCAACGCATTTCTTGAACAGTTCTTGAGATATTGATTGTTAGTAATTTTCAATATCAAACTGCATTAGTATACAGTTTGATTTCAGGAAAGCAGTTTGTTACTTCTTTGGTATTGATCCAAAGTTTCAATTCTTTGTTTTCTTTTATTTGTTGATTAACCCTCTCAAGGATTTTTATTTTTTTATTTGGCTTATCTCAGGTCTTGTTGTGTTTATTATCCTTATATATATATATATATATATATATATATATATATATATATATATATATGATGGGTGTCGAACTCGTCATACAAGCATGAACATCGCTGACCACCCACCCTCTTCCCTACTTATGTTCTCACTCTAGTCTGTTTTTGAATTTAAATTTCAGCTCTGATTTGTTTCACATGAGCGGCAGTGGCTTTTAAAAAACAGCGAGAGACTTGCAAGTATTTTGAGAGAAACTGTTATATATATATATATATATATATATATATATATATATATATAAAACGCACTGCGGTTCATTTTTGTTTAATTGCTCCTGTGTTCTTGTAATTTTTTTTTTCTGGACAGAAACAACGTAGAAATACTAGATAATTTATGTCCAGACAAGAAGAAATTGTACGAACACAAAAAAATGTAAAAAAAACTTAACCGCAGTACCTTAAATCAATCGTTTTTCATGAAATTGTATATATATATATATATATATATATATATATATATATATAAAAAATAAAATTCTGTTAATATTCCGCTTAAAAAATGTCCATCTTATTTAAATAATATTGATTTTATACACTGAAAAATTCTTAATAATGTCGGTAAAAAATTTAAATTCTTTTCACATGTCACATCAGGAAATTAAAAGAAAATGTCATCGCAGCAAAAAAAAAAAAAAAATGGCTATGGAATTCTTCCGATAATCGAAAACAGCTCACGATATATGGAGGTAAGAACGATTCGAAAAATTCAATGCACAAGGAGAGTGAGCAACATTGAAGTCATATAGGAAATGGGAGCTAAAAGAACGCTTATGTTCAGAACCAAAAAGAGACGACTTATATTCCTTGGACGATGCACTTCGCTGGACATATTAAAGGGAACAGAGATTGGGGACAGCCAGCGAGCCACTGACGGGCTTGTCTGAATGAATAGCGGGATCTTTGCCAAAGGGAGAAAAACGGCTACAAAAGGGGTATGAAGTTGTAGAGACCTATGAACTATGTACCCAGTACATTGAAGAATAAGCATGTAAAACATACACACCATAATCAAATAGATTTAGTCATTTAATGAACAATATAGTTTGTTTTTTTTTATTCTTAGTTTTTCATCAGTATCACCTCATGCAAGGCAGTAATACGCAAAGGTTTACAGGGTGTGGAAGAATTAGGAACAGAAACAATAATGGTGATCAGAAAGAGAAGAGAATAATCAGGAAGATAATAGCAATTGAAATTGCATTTAAATTTTTTCACATTAAAGTTTGCTGGAAAGCATGGAAGAGGGTTCCAAAAGCGAGAAGTGCGAGAGAAAAAACTGTTAGCATGGAAGTTATGGCGATATCTAGCTAGCTCAACACTAAATCAATTTGATCTCGTCGCCAATATAGTGCATGCATTTAAATTAAGAAACAAAACAAAACAAGCTCTAGGTACCATAGCAAAGAGCTCACTCGAACAATTACGATGAAAATATTTATATAAAAAACAAAGAGAGGCAACCTTGCGGATGTTGGAAAGTAACAAGAGCCGAGCCGCCAGATCAGGACCAATAATATTGCTGATTCTTTGTTGGCGCTTGTCAAGGAGTTCGACGTAAATAGCAGGCACATCGGACCGTGTGTAGCAGCAATATTTTAAGCATGAACAAATGGTAGTCTTATATTTATGTAAAATAAAATCTGGAGAGAAAAATTGTCTCGTCTGACATAACCGAATTTCTTAGGAGCTGACGTAGCAATAGATTCATTATATACTTTCCACTTCATATCAGCAAAGAACATGCGCCTGAGAAGAATCAACATGTCATTTTCCTGGAAGTTAGCATCAGCCATGCTGTGTTTTGAAAATGGATTATATATGATCTGAAAGAAAAACTTTACTTAATATTTATGGTAATGGGGACATTAGCCGTTTCTTTATGAGAAAACATTCAGCATTTAATGACCGAGAAGCTTGGATTACGGTCGGTTGAAATTTTTAAAATCTATTTCTTCAAACAATTTTCCAGGAAATTAGCTTTTTCCACTCAAGTAGTTGTTATCCATATGTCCAGTATTGATGATGTTGACCATATTTTCCGTAGTCTCTGAATATGGAATCCAGTGAAGTCCGTAATGTCTTCAATATCAGAGGTTGGCAGGGAAGATTCTGAGAAAATAGCGGCTGTTAATTCTTTAAGTCTTCCATATCAGGTTGGCAGTGAAGATATTTTGGAAGAAAAAAACAAAATGGCTGCCTTTATACATGTCGGATTGAATATTTTGAGCTTTCTGATTGGTTAACCCTTCTATTGGTGAACTATAAAATGAGTCAGCTCATTTTGACTGGCTCACTAGTGCATGACTGTACCCAAAAGTTCTAACAGATGACGCCTTCCTTCCTAACGTTTTTTTTTATCTTGTGTAATGTCAACATATTGGTTATTTTAATTTTTCTCCCTTAGTCTTACATATGATATCCCTTTCAGCTCTTGCTCGCTAGAAGTTCTCAAGTAATGTATTTTATGTTATTTAGTGCAGTATTTTCTTTGTGATTATGCAGCACCAGTCCATAAGGTTCGAAGAAGTGTGGTTTTGTTGAAGGTCTACAGCATCCACTCGCTCAAACCCATTTTTAACCATTGATCTTAGAAAGCGGATGTATACAGCTGACAGGTGAGATAATGAACATATTGCTAAAGATTGGATATCAACTTTAGTAAAATCTTTGATTAAAAAGTAAATTATCTAAACTAATTTCGAGCAGAAGAAAATATTTGGTAGAAATCAATGCTCTTCAGACGTAAGTAATTCATACTTATTCTAGTAGTCATTTTAAAATGTGCTCCACGTGTTTGAAAGCGTGATTTTTCCTGTTCACATATTGTCAGATATTTGGCTAAAAACTGGCTATCATCTCGTAGTCACAAGATTGATAGCCAGGTTTACTGGTGGCTCTGTAATAGTTTGTTCAATAAGAGTAAATCTTTTAACCCTACGCTCTTCACGTAGTTTGAGGTGTTAACATCTTCTGCGGATATAACAGAATGTTTTGCTCGTAATTATTCTTCAAAGTCTACTCTTGTTTCATCTGGAGTATTTTTGATTGACATTCAACTCCTGGGTATGACGATAAACTACATCCGCGTGCTGGGTAAGACGATAAACTACATCCGCGTCTTGGGTGTGACGATAAACTACATCCGCGTCTTGGGTTTGACGATAAACTACACCCGCCTCCTGGGTATGACGATAAACTACATCCACGTCCTGGGTATGACGATAAACTACTGTCGCGTCCTGGGTATGAAGATAAACTATATCCGCTTCCTGGGTATCGCGATAAACTACATCCGCGTCCTGGGTATGACGATAAACTACAGCCGCGTCCTGGGTATGACGATAAGCTACATCCACGTCCTGGGTATGACGATAAACTATATCCGCGTCCTGGGTATGACGATAAGCTACATCCACGTCCTGGGTATGACGATAAACTATATCCGCGTCCTGGGTATGACGATAAACTACTGTCGCGTCCTGGGTATGAAGTTAAACTATATCCGCTCCCTGGGTATCGCGATAAACTACATCCGCGTCCTGAGTAAAATGATAAACTACGTCCAACAGAAAGGCCTCTGATAATACGTTTTTGAAAAAATGATGTTGCCAGGTGTACATTTTTGAAAAATTATATTACCAGCTATACATTATTGAAATAATATTGTTACTGGCTATACGTTTTTGAAAAATTAATATTACTAGCTATACATTTTTGAGGAAAAAATATTAACAGAAATAGATTTTTGATAAAACAAAAAATATTACCAGAAAAAAAAGCTGTCGGCATTAAATGACCCATTGAGGTTGATATGCCGTAAAACAAAACAAACCAAACCAATCTATTGGAAGTTATGCATATAATTCCGTCCGTGCTTTCTGCCATCATCTCTAAACTAGGTCCCCAAAATGGATGCGGATTTGTTGGCATGCCTGGAATAAACCTGAAGTAACGTGCTCCATTAATGTCTTCTCTTCTCTATCAAATCTACAATAAATGTGTTGCTCCATGCTTTGCCTGCTTGTGGGAAATTCTCTTCTATAGTGCCCTGCCTTTAATCCCGTGTTAATCACAACGGATTTCCGATAATGGATAGTCTACGGGCTTCCTGGGACAACTCAGCTACAAAATCTCACCGAGTCAGGAGAGTAGCTGAAGGAAGAAAAAGAAACAAGTTACCAACTAGGAATTACAAGTACTTTAAAAATCGTAGTGTAAAATATAAAAAAAAATCTCCCCTAACGCTGGATTAAGAAAGACGAACCGTTTGATCCTTCTAATTATCGACTATTAGCCATCTACTTGTTTTTGGTAAAGTACTATATGCTTTAATCAACTCGAAATTAGTTGAGCATATAACCACGGTGAGTCTTCCTTCCGATAAACAATATGGCCTTTGCTTTCTACGTCAGATTATAAAGTAATAACATTATTGCTGCGTCTATCAGGCTTTACCTCGAGTGTGTGAATTTAAGCACAATACCAGACAGGCGAATAGATGTCGTCAGTTTAAAGTTGTGCTAGATAGATTCAGCTGTAAATTCTATGCTAAGAGTTTGTTTTCCCGTAATTCTGGCTTGTGGAAATCCCTCCTCTCTACATGCTTTCTAACCAACTTTAATCTGCAAAAGTTTAAATGCCTATCGATATCTACACTCTTTCTAATCATTACTAATGTCTCAGTTCTTAATTCCTCTACACCATGTAACCTCTTGCTTGTTAGTGGCTTTATTGCCTTGCATGAGGTGATAGCGATTAAAAACAAGAATGGTGAAGCTCGGGTTGTTGTATTGGTCAACACGCGCAAACCGAATGCAGGACACACTTGCTTAAGTGAACAATGTTTAAGCCAATGAGAATTGATATTAAATACAAAATTCAGTATTTGTTCATCGGTAATTTTCGTCAACATTTAAGACAAAATATTTTACTTTATCGAAAAATACTTATTTTTCGAGTTTGATATTTATTTTATATGTGTTGCTTCTTTTAAGATAATGTGAGTTAAATTTATGATAAATCTTTGACCAGATATATACCTATGGAATATTATCCCCATGTGATAAAGGATATTCTCATAACTTTATCTGCTGTTGTATAGCTAGAGGCAACTGTGTGAATTTATGAGCATTTTAATACAAAATAATATCATATTTTATGTCTCCTGGACAAGAATTCACCAAGTTATTTTTTCCAAACTCCGGAATATAGATCGAAAAAATGCCAATGTAATGTAAGCTTTAGACACTCAGAAACGCATATTAAAACCTATCACTATCTATCTATCTATCTATCTATCTATCTGTCTGTCTGTCTATCTCTCTATTTTTCTAGCTCTGTATCTATATCTTTTTTTCTGTCTGTCTATCTTTTTCTATCTATCTATCCAGTTTCTATCTATCTATCTATCTATCTATCTATCTATTTTTCTAGCTCTGTATCTATATATTTTTTAGCTATCTATCTATCTGTCTATCTATCTATCTATCTATCTATCTATTTTTCTAGCTCTGTATCTATATATTTTTTAGCTATCTATCTATCTATCTATCTATCTATCTGTCTGTCTATCTATCTATCTGTCTGTCTATCCATCTATCTATCTATCTATCTATCTATCTATCTATCTATTTTTCTAGCTCTGTATCTATATATTTTTTAGCTATTCTATCTATCTATCTATCTATCTATCTATGTATTTCAGTCTGTTCATATCTATCTATACAGGGTGCAAAGGATAAATTGTGGTCAGAATTACGCAAAAATGAAAATAACACTGGCATCTCATTTTAACAGATATATTTACCAAACTTACACAAAAATATCTTTGAAATGCTACGGAGTAAATTTGTTCAATATATATATATATATATATATATATATATATATATATATATATATATATATATATATCTCTGTTTATATCTCTATATATAAACATATGGCCTCTGTCTCTTTGTTATCGAATTCCTCCTAGTTTTAAAGATAGACCCCCATAAACATATATATTCTGAAACAACATTACCCAGGGTACATGGATAAGTATATTTCATTTTAATGAAAGTTGGTATGCGGGGATACCCCACACCTATTTTTTCCGTTTGATATAAATTAAATTTGAGCACGGGAATAACACCTAGAGTTCTTGTATATGCATATTTAATTTTGATCGAAGTGGGGCTCCGGGGATCAAACTGCCTCCCCACTAAAATCTCTTTTCCCTTTGATCTAAAGGAAATTTAAATTTGAACAAGGCAATGACTCCTATCCAAAATATAGGAGAAACCAGACGATGAAAGTCACATTGACAAGAACATTTTGATCAAAGCGGGTCCACAAAACCCCACTGATTTTTTTTCCTTTTTATTTAAATAAAATTTAGATATTAACAAGAAAATTACTCCGAGGGTACTTTGATAAGTATATTTCATTTTGATAAAAAGGGTTCCAAAACTTCTACTGATTTTTTTCCTCTTTGATTTAAATTAAATTTAAATTTGATCAAGGTGATGACTTCTATCCAGAATATAGAAGGAGAAAGTCAGTAGAGAGAGGTCACATCGACTAGATCAAAGTGTGACAATATGGCCGGTAAGTTGAGCAAGAAATCACCAATCAGTGGGTACTGCTTTACAATACATGTTTTTGCGATAATTCGACTATTGTATCAATGTTGAAATATGCTCATCAATTCATTCAGTCAAGTATTGCATCAAATACATATCAAAGGGGTCATTTTAGGAAGGTTTTACAAAAAAACACCCCACTGAAAATTTTTCCCTTTCATTTATATTAAATTTAAATTTGAGCCAGAAAATAACTTATCCAAAATATAGAAGAAGAAAGCCAGAATATTTATATAGCGGGCTTATTATTAGTATCAGATATACAATCTGAATCTAATAATAAACCCACTAAATACATTCGCTTTACTACAACCACGCTATCCCGTAGACTTACCTGTCACATTTTTGATCTTAGTTCTATTAAACATTTCTTAGAATAGCATAAACATGTCCAGAATATTAGACAGATATTAATTTTGCACAATTATACTCACACATACACACAATAAAAATAAACTTCAGCTATCTACATTAAAACGAAGCAAACCACTGTCAACAAAATTACATTTCAAACTAGTCACAGCACATTACATTGCATCTAAACGTTGGTTCTGCTGTAATACTTTGGTCTATCGTGTAGCATGACGTTATAGAAACGCATCTTGAATTTACGATCTGAGTCTGCTATTCCGTTACCGTTAACGTCAGAATAACAAAATATAATCTTTGACAGGTGACATCTTTGTTGCATGTCCGTGTAAAAATTCTGAGGATGGTTCATGTGAGCCGAAATCTTAGCACCAACTTAATGAAAAAATATCCAAATTTTTGTCTTTATTTTCACCTGAAATTAAAGTAAACATTCGAATATATATATATATATATATATATATATATATAGAGAGAGAGAGAGAGAGAGAGAGAGAAATTTAAAGAAGTCTTATTGAAAATTCGCTAACTACGCAACAATTAACCGTTCAGTTCATGTAAACACCGTGGATAAAAGCCTCGCCTTGTTTGGTGATTGAAAAAATCAACCAAACTCTGTTAAATTCAGTAAATATATTTTTTTTTTTATAAAACTCAGCAAAAAAATTACATGTTCTTCTTAAAGGCCAAATTAAAAACAGTATTTGGCTAAATATTCGAGGCTGAATGGAATTATCGCTTAATTCTCTAGATTACTTATGCAGACATCTGATGATAAACAAGTTAGAATTTGCAAGTGGCGGGGAAGATAAACAATATTTAATTAGTCTTTCCTTTGGCAATGTTCCGGAAAAAATAGAATTAATGCGAAAATGATTGATTTAAAATAATTTCTCATCCTTGTAAAAAATGAAAGTACGTGTGTACGTCAGTTCGAAAATACACATATATCGGAAGCAATTTTATATATCATTTATATATGAATAAAACTTTCTATCTGTCTCAGTATATTCAGATCTATCTATCTATCTATCTATCTATCTATCTCAGTCTGTTCAGGTGTATCCATCACTGTTTATATCTCGGTATCATTCTCTATCATTCTCCCTGTCTGTCTATCTAGCTATCTGTCCTAGTAAATTAATATATCTCGGTATTATTTTCTTTCTACCTCTGTCTAACTCTCTCTCTCTCTCTCTATCTATCTATCTATGAAAATCTATCTATCTATATTAGTTTGTTTATATCAAGGTACTCTTATCTCTCTATCTCAACCTCTCTCTGTTCAGATCTATCACTGCTTATATCCCGGAATCATTCTCCTCCCCTTCTTCCTCTTTCTCATTATCTATCTATCTATCTATCTATCTATCTATCTATCTATCCTAGTCGGTTCATATCATAGGATATACACTCCTATCTTTTAAGGCCAATAAGTGAAGTACAAACAAGTAAGCGACGCCTTCAAACAAATCTCATAGTAGATACGAAAAACATCTCTACGATGTACGCTTAGTTGAACTCCAAATGACATGGAAATAGGTCAAGGTTGGGTTGCTCAATACATAACCGCTCAAAGCTCAGATAGGATTTGTGAGCCGATCACCGAATCGCCATAAGCCATAAAATCGAACACTAGAACAGTCAGCGGACAGATCTGCAAAACTGAACAGTCTGTGAACCAGTTCGGCTTCAAAAAATGTTAACCTGAAAACGCGTCAGTCAGCGATGATTTTCCCAGATACAAAGCCGTAACGAAGTCAGTCTTCTCTCGAATATCCTTGTTCACTATGTTTTAAAATTACTGCTATCGCACGATATCAGTTAGTAGTCACACATATTTCATTAGCACGTGCTTAAAACACACACACACATATTGACATACATATTACTCCGAAGTTTGCAGACTCACTTCAAACAAAATAACATCGACCTTTGCAGATTCGCATGCAAAAAATCACATCGAACTATTTCTCTCTTCATGGCCACAACTAAGAACATTAATTTTCAACAACCAATCCAGTTTATTCAAATCTCGCAATCTCTCTATATATCATACGTAAGATTTTTCTAACTCCCTATCACTATATAAATCAATAGTTTCATATCTTTCATTCTTTCTCTATCAAATCGCAGTAAAAACCTATTTTACACCCACATATCTAGCTTACTAACTGGTTAATTTTATATATATATATATATATATATATATATATATATATATATATATATGTGTGTGTGTGTGTGTGTGTGTGTGTGTGTGTGTGTGTGTTCATGCCACTCACTCTCTATACTTGATAATGCATATCAATCATCTGTCGTTGTATATATCTCGGTATCATTCTCTCTCTCTCTTTTCTATATATATATATATATATATATATATATCTCAGTCTCTACGCATGATGGATCTATCTATGTCTACGCATCATCTCTCAATGTTTATATCTATCTATGTCTACTCATTATCTATCTATCTATCTATCTATCTATCTATCTATGTCTACTCATTATCTATCTATCTATCTATCTATCTATGTCTACTCATTATCTATCTATCTATCTATGTCTACTCATTATCTATCTATCTATCTATCTATCTATCTATCTCAGTCTACGCATGATCGATCTATCTAAGTCTATGCATCATTTCTCAATATTTATATCTATCCCAGTCAAATGCATTATCTATCTATCTATCTATCTATCTTAA